AACGCCCGGTTTGTGCTGCCTTAGTGGTAAAGTGACGTTGCCATTAGTGGTCCCGCCACCAGAGCCATTGCGTTCCCTGCTTTATGGCGAAACACTAGAATCACGAACACTCAAAAATACAATGCCTGTTTCCAAATGACTTCATTTGGGTCGGAAATTATTGGAGACGGTTATAATCAGATATTTAAGGTAATTTACGTTAAAAATTTTATTTTCTATGATTTAAAAAAAAAAAAAAACAAAAAAATGGAATATGTTAGATTTCTGTAAAAAGTGTTTGTAAATCTAACTATAACTATGGCTTTGAATTTAAAGATTCAAGGCCAGATTGGCCATCGCATTGGATCATTGCAACCTATTGAATATGCACAGCACAAATATATACTTCATGGGCAATATGGAAAAACAACTTGACCGGCGTCAAGAAATCAACACAGCTATGAAAAGAGCAATTCTCCAAGATTTGCAGCAAATGCTTCACGAACATCATGCATTGGTCAAGCTGTTCAAGACTGCTTTAGAGCGCATGTCAAGAGATGACTATAAAGTAGTAATCAGAGCAGATAAAAGACCAGCTGGAACACATGAACGCACATTTAATGCTCCAACAATCGATGAAGTGGCAATCCTGATTGTTGGTGAAAGCTTGGAAGCACGCGATATTGTGCTTACACGACGCAGTACTGGGCAACTACAAAGAATATCTGAAACGCACCGTTCATATGGCGCTTTACAATACTTGCTAATATCAATATCAAAATGATTAATCCATTGAATGATAAAATCATAGTTTTCATTTTAACTTTATATACATTTCATTCTGTTTGCTTTTGGTACACAAAAAAAGTTATCACTCTTAATTTAGTAGAGAGTAGTTGTAAGAGTCGTAAACCTATTAGGGGTTATAAAATACAATTTTTACTGTATTTGTTACAGGTGAGGAAACTGCCAAGAAGGTTAGTTAGATGAATTATTACGCATATCGCTTGATGATTCGTGACAATTCTGACAACTCTTTGTTGCGATTTCGTCGACTGTTTCAACTATACTGCGTTGACATGTACGTGAAAATCGAAACGGAGCGCCTGACTTTTATCCGTTTAAATCAACCTAAATTGCGTTTGGAAGAGTATATTCATTTACGCGATGCAATAATCACAGAAGGAGATTTTGAAAATGTTGGTCGATTGACTATTTCACCAGCGACATACACAGGTAGCCCGCGTCATATGGATGAATATGCGCAAGATGCAATGACATAGCTCAATCTTTGACTATTTGTGGCCTCCATCTAGAAAATGCGTGTTTTTCTCATGGTCAATTGTAGGTGGCATGCTCACGTGTTGACAAACCATCCGCATTATTTGTTCTTGCACCCGACCAAAAAACGAAGAATGTCGTTTACCTCAAGGTGCTTGAATGAAAATCCGATTAATAAATTAATCAGAGTGTATCCCAACCTGAACAACATAGCTTTCAACAATTTTTTACCTAGAAATAATGGATAGGGCAATGCAACGTTTGCCAGGCCAGCTAGTATAATATATATATACATCTTATATGCGCTGCCCCAAGGGTCATATTCGGCTGAGTCACACAACTCTAGGAAGCATTCTCTTTAGCTTGCCCGAATGGCCTTCTTCAACTGTCTTCTAGCTGCCTGGTAAGCTTATTGTTTTTCGAGAAAAGTAGACTTACCGCGAGCCCGTTGTTAGCTTCTTCTCGCCTGAATGCATTGGCGTCGAATGTCACATATTTATGCATTCCACCAATACGTAGGCTCTTGCTGTCGCGTGAACTGCTTGCGGCGTAACATGCTGCTATTGCAGGCACTCTGTATTTGGGCCACCATTTGGCATGCTCTGGCCTCAGCATTACCAATTTTAACCAGAGACTGAATGACCGCTGAAAAGGCCGCGGGATCCAAAGTATCCAACTGATACGATTCCCTCCACACGGTTGGCATCCTGGCAGTTGGCTCACCAATTGTGAACGGAAGTGCCAAATGATCGCTGCTCGTATAGCTATCACAGTGGCTCCATGTTGCTTTCCAAGAAAGGGATGAGGTGACAAAAGTAATGTCAATTACAGATTCGTATCCAGCCCGACTGAAGGTGAGCTCGCGGCCAGTGTTGAGCAGTGCAACATCTAGTGTCGCGAAGATCTCCAGGATACGGCATCTGGCGTTTGTTGTGTGGCTACCCTATTCTAACGCCTATGAGTTAAAATCTCCTGCTGTAATGGCTTTCCGACACCTAGCATCCTCGGCAAGCACCGTTGTGAATTAACTGAGCTGCATGCTGCGAGCCAGGTAGCAACTGTATAGCCCTAAGTTGCCATATCGGCCATGTACGAACCCATAGAATGACTTAGAATTAGTGCTTTGTCATTAGTGTATGTTGACCAAGTTCTATGGCAGGCGATCCTACAGTGATGAGGCTCACTGAGAAAGGCTACGTCTATCAATTTTTCCTTTAAGGTTCGCTCTGGGCAGCAACACAGTGATTTAAGTTAAGCTGAAGAAACCTTAACATTTCATTTTACGCGCAGCTTCAGGGTTGGATGGGCACTTTAAGCTGCCTGCTGAGTGGTCTGTCTGCCTTTCACCTTTCCGGACGCAGAGGCTACATTTTGGTGGCTTGGTGCATGCTTTTGCACTGTGACCCATCTCTCCACACCTGCAACAGGTGAGTGTGTATGTGGATGTATGCGTGTGTGTGTGTATACCTATGTGTGCGTGTGTCTTGTGTAAGCACAGAGACGCGAAAAATTATTGAAATAGCTATTGCTCAAAGGGTTCCGGGGATTTCGTAGTCGGGCAGTGTCGACTACAGTTTTCTTACCTGTTTTGGATTGTCTCATGTGTGTTTTGTTCCTCTTTGAGGCCGACAGTATTTATAATGCTCACAAAGGTATTGACACTTTCGGAAATCGCAAGATTTTTTTAATAGTTTGGAGTTTCGATCCAGACAGAGAAGGTTTCGATGGTACGGACGATGAAGACATTGATGATCAAGATGAACGTGCTGGCGTTGATTGCTTCAAATAGCACTGCTTCGTCCAATAGCAACCTAAAAAGATCGCTGCTATGGAAGCATCCCAATTTACTTTCGAAGGGGTGTCAACTGCGGCTTCTCGCGAGATCTGCCTTGACTCCTGAAATAATGGAGCTTTCGGAGCCCATACAATTCTTTTCATATCTGTTTTCAAAACACCTTTTTGAGCATATTTCAAATGAAACCAATTTGTACATTTGCCAAAAAGACCCCAATGTATGCTTAAATTTCACATTGTTGGAGATTCGTCAATTTGTTGGAATTCTATTGTAAAATATGTAGAGTATGTCGCTGATTTTGACGATGTTGACATATCAGTAAACTCATGGGTGGATAATAAAATCGGATCATTGGCATTCAACTATGCTGGAATACTTACCAAAGACAAAGCACGTCAATTCAACAAAGCCAAAAAGGAATACGTAGAGATTGATTGACCGAACTGGTACGGCAGGATGAATCTGGATATTGGCCTTTCTGGGATGAGAAAAGAATAGGGTGCAACTACCCAACATATACAGGATTCTCACAAGTAATGTGCGGGAAATATTAACTAGACTTATGTTTCAACAAGAGAAACAAAACAAAATTTAAACATTATAATAATATGTTAAGAATATCCAAATTAAATTTAATCAATTAAATTAAGAATATCCAAAATTAAGTTCCTAAATACCCAGAGATCTATCAGAAATTATACCCTGAACCCATTTTCAATGGGAAATCCCGATTTAGTATATAAGTAAGAAAACTCTAGTCGAGACTGCTCGACTACGAGATCCCCTGAGCCCTTCGAGCAAGAGCTATTTAATTCATTTTTCGCGTATTTTTACTTACACAAGACACACGCACATACACACGCATACATACACACACACACATAGGCACACACATACACACACACACAAACGCACATACCCGCACACAAGCACCCACGCCTGGGCTGCGGTGTGCGCTTACTATGAGAATTTAATTGTTTATCATAAGATTATGATCATAACACGGATATACATGTATTTGCCAAAGACAAGTCGCCTTTTTCAAATATGTGGGTGAGGGGGTGGGTGAGGTGTGGGGTAAATTTTAACAAAATCCGAAATTGTATAAATTGCATATAAATCCACATTAAAAATTTGGAGACTTTATCTTTAAAGTTGTAGGAGATATAATTTTATAATTTATTTTCGGTAAGGTTTTTTATCGATAAAAAATATCGAGAGAAGTTATCGATTTTTAAAGAAAAACTAGATATCCGCGTGGTATACGCGGACATTTTACAAAAAAACTGATGTCTTTAGCTCTTGTATCTTCTGAAATCGACGCGTTCATACATACGGACGGACAGACGGACGGACGGACAGACAAACGGACAGGGCCAAATCAACTCAGCTCGTCGCCCTAAGATCAAGAATAATAACTTTTCTTGTGGATGGACTATCTTCAGATTATGAATATAGCATAGATATGCATGTATTTGTCAACGCACAAGTCTCTAGTATTTGAAATACGCCTTTTACAAATGTAATGGTGAGGGGGTGAATTAGGGATGGGGGGTAAATTTTGACAAAAATCGTAATTGTATAAAATGCATATAAGTATGTTGAAGTGATGGCGTCGCCGATAAGTGAAAAGACCGGATTGTAGTTTCCTCGTCTTTATTTGTAGGATGGTAGCTGTTCAGCTCGTATAAAAGTGTGTAACATATATGCCAGAAAAGGCAAGCGCCTAGTGCTGGGGAGACGAAGTCCTCAGCGGGGCGCTAAGTACAGCGAACCAGTAGGAGAACTGGGTTATGTTATTAACAGAGTGCTGTTAATAACATAACATTGTGTGGTACGGGAGGAGCAATTCTTGTTAATGGGATCTGGCATTAACATACTCCCCCCCTTTGCAAGGATTGCAAATTAAGACATCGCGTTCGAAGCTGGAGACCTCTTGGTGTGCGGATCAAGGCCGTAAGCGGAGCTGTGATCGCCTTTTTAGGAGTCGAGGCGGAGTGACGTGCTGATCCCTGGAGATCCAGGAGCGTGTGGCCACATGTTTTGCAACGTCCCTTGTTGCGGCAGGATTGCCCGGAGTGCTCGTGAGCCAAGCAGCTCGTGCAGCTCATATGTATAAGTACCGCACCCATCCGTTTCTCCCCTGAAAGGCCCAGAAAACGCTGGCAGTTTCGGAGACCGTGGGCTCCTGGGTACACGCGGCACTGGAAGGAATTGGTACCGCGTGGCTTGTTGCTTTCTAATGACGGCGTCTTTATCTGGAAGAACGAATGAGTTGGAGGTTGAATTGCTTGCTCGTTAAAACATAACATGGAGGTTAATTCGACAGCACAAGGAGTACGATGATCGGGTTGGAATGATGGCCCTGAATAAAGAATATCATTCAGGCTCTCATTGAAACCGACCCTCACTTTTGTAGTGGTGTTGTCGGGAACTCGGGATGGAAGAGTTACAGGAGATGACAAGGTTGTCGGAATCTCAAGTTTCGTCCCACCCGTAACGGAGACTTGAGTTGTGAAGGAGGAGACCATTTACGGTGAAGCTCGTGAAAGTAGGCCAGTGAGTACCCAACCGAAAACAGATCCACAGATATTCAGATGGTAACCTCCCTGAATAATAGTCGGAAGGATATCCGCACCTATAGGGACATACATTTCTGAACTCTTGTAGAACTCGGGATCAGTTAGCTGAATATTCGGAAGCTGGTTCAGTAAGAGTTGAGGAATTGGAGATGAAGGGAGTTTACCGGCAAGTTTTGGAAGGACGAGAGCAGAAGCTTCGATTCGTAGTCTCGGTTTCGAAGGAGAACCAATGTCAAAGCTGCATAGCTTTTGTGCATGATCTGTAACTGCTTGATTCAAGTTGGAAACTTAAGTCTGCGCGGACTTGAAGGGCAACTTGATTTTGCGGAATAGTCGCTCGGAAATGATCCTGAGTCGACTAAAGCACGGGCGGTATAGATTGCTCCGGAATGGCATATGTTGATCACCGTTGTGCCGAGGAGGTGCTCCGGAATGGCATATGTTGATCACCGCCATGTCAAGGAGGCCACCTCGTGTGTTGGCAGCCAGATACGTTTGGACGTTGGACATAACTTGCGTACGAATTGGGGCTATAGCTGTTGCGGATGCAGCAGCAGTCCGAGGAGTATTGTCCCTATAGAGTAGGGTGCTATGTCGACCATTACACTTGAAACAGTTGTGCGTACTGGTACACTCTCGTAACTGGTGACCCTTAGCGAAGCAGTTCAGGCAAATATTCTTTGCTTTGATGTATGCCTCTCGTTCATGGATAGACAGCTGGATAAACCGAGGGCAAAATCGGATTGGATGGTTCTGTTTTGAACACAGATCGCACATTGTGCTCTTCGAATTCACTTACGTTGTGAAGGAGTTGACTCGTTTGGGAGGGGCAGAGTTCGCGCATCTCGGAACTGAGATTGGAACTATTGGTGCAGAGCGATCACCTTCCATAGCGTCGAGAGCAAGAGCACGCTCGCTAAGAAAGTGACTACCGTCCAGCCAGGCTGGAATTTTGTGTCAGTGAATGCTCTCAGATAGATCGAGTGTGATCTGGCAATTTGGAGGTGCACACGAACACAAGGATACAGTCCCAATTCTCCGTAGAGATTTGAGCATGCTCGATTGCAGTGACGCATCTATGAATTGTGCCATGCAACTCTCTAAAAGCCGAGCCTGATTCCTTGGTGACTTTGGAGAGCTGTTGACTAACAGCCGCTTATTCTCGAACCGATCACACAATGAGCCCCAAGCCGATGCAAAGCCGTCGTTTGTGAGAGGATACTCTGCGACTAAGGCATTTGCATCGCCTGCTGTCTTTGAATTAGGATTAACTTTTCCACCGGAGTCAAGCGCGGATTCTGAATATAAATCGCAGTAAAAATGGTCGTGGAATGTTGGCCAGCGCAAGTAATCGCCGTGGAACACTTCCGTATCTTTTCCACCGGAGTCAAGCGCGGATTCTGAATATAAATCGCAGTAAAAATGGTCGCGGAATGTTGGCCAGCGCAAGTAGTCGCCGTGGAACACTTCCGTATCAACGAGTGGAAGGCGACAGCCTCCAGACGAGGCGAAAGTAGCGGACATAGGAGCGGGCGGTGAACTCGATGCGGAAAGTGCGTCGATTTGCACCCCCAGGTGCGTCGTACACCGCTCATACACAGTGTAGCAGTTGTCGAATTTGGCCTCCACGGCTTTAACTTCGCCACTGCTCGCCCCTTGGTTCAACGCTTTGACACAGACCTTATATTGCTGCTAAGCATCATCCCATAGGGCCCTAACCCGATCTCGGCGGATCTCGAAGGCCCGGAGCTGAGCCGCCTGGGTGGCGTTAGAATCTCCGTGACCGTCAATGCGGGCTTCAAATTTAATAAGCCTATCCGCAGCCGCGATGAAATCGGACAAAGACATATTGACTGGACTTGCGGGCTTCGAACTGCACCAGGTAACAACCGGACTGCGCTTGAAAGTGCTGATGGTCTGTGGTTTCCCGGACGGAATTGGAGATGCGGAAGCACTGCGTTTAATCAAACGCGAAGCGGGTACTTTAAGTTGCGCTCGACCAGAACGATCAGACATGGAGTTCTGCTAAGATAGAGCGTTATGAAAATCTTGGAATGTTGACAGCGAAGGCCGGGCTTGATAACCTAACCGAAAGTCGATAGACATAATAAAAGTAATTTAAAAAAAAAAAATAATAATAATAAAGTAGGGGAATATTAAACAAATGAAAGAAATCGAACAAGACAATAAAGGAAACTAAAAATAATTGGACTAAAAGTTTAAAAAAGTGCACGAATAGAAAAAAATAAATGATAATAAGATAAACTATTTACAGCCAAATATTAAATGAAATATACATTAAAATTAAAATTGAATTTTCAAATTATTTAATTTTGAATTGTAATGGAAAGTTTTATTTAGTTTGTTCGACTATCAGTATTATTTTGAATGTACGATAGTTGCGCGCTCTGATCTTTAGTGAACAATCGCAACGGAATAGTGGCGGCTGTCGACAAATGCCGATATCGATAGTTCTATTAATTTTACTCGAAGTGCGATCACTGCTGGTTGGACACGGAGTAGAAAATTAAATAATTTTATTGATTTATAAGTGCTGTGAGATATATGTATATATATATATATGTGAAATATTTTATTGTGAGATTATGTGTCAATTATGGCGCTGCTCTGTTTGAACATTCATATGGATATATGTGCCTACGTATGCGTACATGCGGATGCTTGTATGTTCGTTTGGACAGAGGCAAGCGGAGACACAATTAGCACATAAACAAGTAAAATAAGTAGATATATAAATATAATTGAAAAATTGAAAAATAAATGGACGGAAGAAAAACAAAGAGGTTATTTTTGGTATTTATATTTCTTTATACTATATTTTTGTTTTGATATGGAATATATTTTTGCACATATGTATGCACATATTGCCAGAAAAACTATGCGTACAGGCCTAATGGGCGACTTTGATAGAGAATAAATATGATAAATAAGAGTATTATTATCAATATTATATTTTTTAGTGAAAAACTATTTAATAACACACATTTATCAACAATTAAAAAAAAAAAATATTAAACAGTTTTTTCTTTTTTTTTATTTTAAATAAGAAAAAAACAACGAAAATTCACTTGTAAAAAGTATGCGTACAAACTAAAAAACAAAACCAAAAATAACTTTTCAATGAAAATTTGAAAATTAATATTGAAAAATAGTATCCAACCTTTCGCTTCTCTTCCAACCATTTTGGCATCGATGCCACCAATTTCCGGGTGAAATAAGCCGGAATTTTGAGCCACTACTCCATCAGAACCGATTTGAGCATGTCCTTTGAAGTAATTATTCGCTCTCTGATCCTGCGCTCCAAAAAATCCCATAAATGCTCTATGGGATTAAGGTCGGGTGACTGGGGAGGCGAATGAAGCTGGTGTCTGGTATTATAGAGCAACCAGAGCTTGACATTGTGAGCTGTGTGTTTGGGGTCATTGTTATGTTGGAGGACAAAGTCCTCCCCAAGACCCAATTGTCTGGCGCTTTGGTGTAAATTGTTTTTTAAGATATGGAGGTAATCCATATGGTTCATTGTGGACTCAATAAAAGCCGAATTGCCCACTCACACCATTACGCCACCTCCGCTGTGCTTAACGGTTGGAGTTAGATTTTGTACGTCGAACGCAGTGCCTCTCTTTCGCCACACAAGCTTTCTCCCCTTGATACCAAATATGCAGAATTTGCTCTCATCACTAAATATCACTTGGTTCCAATACTCTGGACTGGCTTCCAAGTATTTTCTGGCGAAATTCATCCGTTTGATTTTATTTGTTTCAGAGATAAGTGGCTTCCTTCGAGCAACACGGGCATTTAATTCATTTTCTTCGTGGAGCTCTTTTTTCTATTTCCCTTTAACTTCCTGATTAATCTTGGCTGCAGTTAATGTGGGGCTTAGCCGCACCGTCTTCAGCACGTCGCTCTTCTCTCTCTTGGTCAGCTTTGAGGGCCTCCCAGACCGTGGCTTTGACTGTACTGAGCCATGGTCATTTTGAGCTAATGCCTTTGCCTCAAATTCTACAAAGACCATAGAAATCGAACCAAATACGATTGGAAGAGGTTTATTTGGTCAGATGATACCAAAATAAATCGCTACCAGTCTGACGGAAAGGAGTATTATTAGCACCGGCAACAGGGAAAGCTGAATAAGCATTATGCCATAAAGCGTAGTGGAGTGTGCCTGATGGTATGAGGCTGTTTCACATGGTGGAACCTCTACCCGCTGGTTGAGATCTATGGACTTATGATTAAGGAAGACTGTCTGAATATTATGAAGGCCGACCTTCCAGACTTTGTGGATAATAGTGCGTCTCCCGAGGAAGAAGTCGTGTTTCAGCAGGACAATGACCGCCAGTACAAAGCGAAAATCGTCAAGAATTAACTCGATTATCAAAAATTTTGTATAATAAAGTGGCCTACTCAAAGTACAGACCTGAACCCCATTAAAAATTTAGGGACATTGGTTAATAAAAGGCTCTCAATGTAAGATACACCACCGACTGGGATGAAGGGGTTTTAGTGTCGGATCCAGGCGAAGTTGAGCGAAATTTCGCATGCCTCTTTTGGAAAAGTGGTGGAGAGTATGCCCAAGCGCATTGCTAGTGTGATTAAAGCTAAAGATCTTTGGACAAAATATTAAAAATAGTAAATATTTTTAAAAAGTTTAAAACGAGCAAAAGTGTATACGTAGCTCTCTTTATGTATCATTCTGAAAAACTTGAATTTATAATCAAAAAGCGAAACAAATGATTTTACCATCTTATTTAAATATATCAAATTAATCTAATTCCAAAATTTCAGACAGATTCATGAATTTTTTATGTTTTTACAGGCATTGTAAAGTTGACTTGGCCAACATGTATCCATACGTGATCGCCACTGTATATAAAACAAGTAAGAAAGCTCTAGTCGAGACTGCTCGACTAGGAGATACCCTGAACCCTCTAAGCTGATATTCTAATCAGTCTGCACTTCTTTTCGAAACATACACACGCACGTATTAGAACGCGCCTGCTAACTGCGCAGTAAGCAGCGACTGCGCTTGGGCTGCGTTGCAGTGTGGGCAATATTATAAGAATTTATTTGTTGAATAATTTAATTTCTAGACGTACAATCTTAATAAAACTTTCAGAGCCTAATCATATGGTAAAAATGTGTGCACATTCTAAAGCACAAGTCTCTAGTATTTGAAATACGCTTTTTACAAAAGTGAGGGTGAGGGGGTGAATTTAGGGGTGGGGGGTAAATTTTAACAAAAACCGAAATTGTATAAATTGCATATAGGCATACATTAAAAATTTGGAGACTCTAGCAATAAAGGTGTAGAAGATATAATTTTATAACTGGTTTTCGATAAGGTTTTTTATCGATAAAAAAGATCGGGATGAGTTATCGATTTTTAATGATAAACTTGATATGCGCGCTGTAATTACGAACATTTTAAAAAAATTTTGAAGTCTCTAGCTCTTATATCTTCTGAAATCGACGCGTTCATACATACGGACGGACGGACGGACGGACAGACAGACGGACAGGGCCAAATCGACTTAGCTCGTCGCCCTGATCAAGAATATATATACTTTGTGGGGTCTGCCACGCCTCCTTCTGCCTGTTACATACTTTTAACAAAACCATTATACCCTGATTTCCCATTTTCAATGGGTTCAGGGTATAAAAAAAAGTACGTTAAAGTTTTTCGCAATATTTTTACTGTTTAATTTAATAAATACCCAATACTATTTAGTAAATTTTTGTTTCACTAAAAAACAATTACAAAATTGCTTTAAAGCTTAAAAAGCTTGCGGTGCCAATAATTTAGTTCGTCACTGTACATATCCCATTTTTATACCCTGAACCCATTTTCAATGGGAAATCAGGGTATAATGGTTTTGTTGAAATGTATGTAACAGGCAGAAGGAGGCGTGGCAGACCCCACAAAGTATATATATTCTTGATCAGGGCGACGAGCTGAGTTGATTTGGCCCTGTCCGTCTGTCTGTCCGTCCGTCCGTCCGTCCGTATGTATGAACGCGTCGATTTCAGAAGATATAAGAGCTAGAGACTTGAAATTTTTTTTCCTAGGTCCGTGTATATCACGCGCATATCAAGTTTTTCTTTAAATATCGATAACTACTCCCGATATTTTATTATCGATTAAAAACCTTATCGAATGCTAGTTATTTAATTATATCTCCTACACCTTTAGAGCTAGAGCTTCCAAATTTTAAATGTAGACTTATATATATTTTATATAATTTCGATTTTTGTTGTAATTTTCCCCCCACCCTTATATCTACCCCCTCACCCTCACCTTTGTAAAAGACGTATTTCAAGTACTAGAGACTTGTGCTTTGGAATGTACATACATTTAAACATTAGGATTATGTTCTGAAAGTTCCATTAAGATTGTACGTCTAGAAATTAAATTATTCAACAAAGAAATTCTTATAATGTTGCCCACACTACAGCGCAGCCCAAGCGCAGTCGCTGCTTACTGCGCAGTTAGCAGAGCGCGTTCTAATAAATTAAATTATACCAAAATAAATAAATTATACCAAATTTACATACTATTAACTTTAAATTCCATTAATCGTATAAACAATTAGTTTAGAAACAAAAATATGAATTTTTTTTTTTTTGCGTGAGTCTCTGTTTTGGTTGCGTTCGTTCAGCTTGTCAAATGTGAACCCATGCTCTGCGTTCCAGAGCTATTTTTGAGAACTTGCCGTTAAATTTGCGACAAAAGCGAGATGTACTTGAAAAGTTTAGACATTTTTGTGTCGCTTTGATAAATTTCTTTGTAAATTTTCCAATTTCTATTTTTTTATTTTTGGCCTATGGGCGCAACCACTGTGCGTTGGAATGCTGATTTGATTGATGTGGATGAAGATCCGGCTTGAAGGACCAAATGTTGAAGTGATGGCGTCGCCGATAAGTAAAAAGACCGGGTTGTAGTTTCCTCGTCTTTATTTGTAGGATGGTAGCTGTTCAGCTCGTATAAAAGTGTGTAACATATATGCCAGAAGAGGCAAGCGCCTAGTGCTGGGGAGACGAAGTCCTCAGCGGAGCGCTAAGTAACAGAGTGCTGTTAATAACATAACATTGTGTGGTGCGGGAGGAGCAATTCTTGTTAATGGGATCTGGCATTAAAAAGTATATATATAAACATTTGGAGACTCTACCTTTAAAGATGTAGGAGATATAAATTTTTTAATGGTTTTCGATAATTTTTAATCGATAACAAAATAACGGGGCAAGTTATCGAAATTTAAAGCAAAACTCGATATGCGCGTGCTATACACGGAGCTAGGAAAAAAATCTAGCTCTTATATCTTCTGAGATCGACGCGTTTAAAAATACGGACTGACGGACGGACTCAGCGACTTAGCTCGTCGCCCTGATCAAGAATATATATACTTTATGGAGTCTGCCACGTCTCCTTCTGTCTCTTACATACATTTAACAAAATTATTATACCCTGATTTCCCATTGAAAATGGGTTCAAGGTATAAAAATCCATAACTCATCCCGTTATTTTTTATTGATAAAAAAATTTATCGAAAATCTGTTTTAAAATTGTATCTCCTACATCTTTGGAACTAGAGTCTCCCAATTGCCCACTGGGAATAATCAGGTACCACATTTTTAAAAAACATTCATTCTGATAGGTAAACCCACGATCATTGAATCAAAACAGCTACTTAAACAAAAGCGCGCCTCTTCAATCAAAGCCCAAAATCGTTCACACCATTCTAAGTTGAGGGAGGCACACGCCAATGTTCATCTCCCATGCATACATACAAACACATACACACACGCACATGTAAAGGCACACAGGCATTCAAGTGCTTCTACAAGTTATATCCCAAAATTGTGAGCAGCGCCTCCCATGCGTACACACAATCAATTGTATATACATACATACATACATACATACATATGTATGTGAGCACTTCACAAGATCGACCAAATGCAAATGCTGGGATTTAAAATTGCTACAGGCAGAAAGAGCTTCGCACACAGGCATACAAATGTTCATAGTACATGCAGCATACTGTAAGTGTGTGTGTGCATGCTCGTCGCGAAAACATTTTCATTATGCGCACCAACGCTTTCATACCCTTCCCACAAATAATATCGAAAACGCATGGCAAACGGTTTGAAAAGTTCGGTATACTCTTCACACAGAAGGGAAGGCATGGGTTCTCGCTGCGAAGAAATTTCAATTTTCGTTAGCCTACTTGTGCTCACATGCAGTACATAGTACATGTAGCAAGGGACAGTGTGTGTGTGCATGCTCGTCGCGAAAACATTTTCAGTATGCGCACCAACGCTTTCATACCCTTCCCACAAATAATAACGAAAACGCATGGCAAACGGTTTGAAAAGTTCGGTAAACTCTTCACACATAAGGGTAGGCATGGGCTCTCGCTGCGAAGAAATTTCAATTTGTGAGCGCTGCTTGTGCTCACATGCATACATACATATACATATTTGAGAGAGCAGAGAGCATCGTGAGAGAGAGAGAGAGAGCAAGGGAAACATTCAGCGCAGAGGGATCTTTTGTTCAACAGTCGACCATCTCGGTCGAGCGCATGAAGCGAAATGATTGTGCTTTCGTATATTTTCGTAGCCCGAACCCAAAAAGTGAAGAGCCGAGCAAATACGAAGTGTCTGGGAGATAACTCCCGAAAAAAAGTGTGCAAAACGCTTTACACTACTTGTCCGGTCTATGTGTTCTCTGGTTAGTGGTACAGACAAACGGATAGGGCCAAATCGACTCTGATCGTCGCCCTGATAAAGAATATATATACTTTATGGGATCTGCCACCCCTCCCTCTACCTGTTAGATAGAAACAAAACTAGTATACCCTGATTTCCCATTTTCAATGGGTTCAGGTATAAAAACTTAGTCCCTGTGCGAAAATGAATTACCTAAATCCACCACCTCTAGATGACGTTCGCTTTACATCTATATATAACAACCACAATGACTCCGCTATTCATTTCAATACGAGGTTAATAAATCTGCTGAAATCTTAGGATCAAAATTTAATGACTAAATTACTACCTAAATACAATCATTGGCGCCCGACTGCAACGTTTTTGTTGACTAACATGCTTTTTAATTTAAACTCAGAAATTAAATAGAGTACAAAGTATGGAGAAAAGTTAAGGCCCTACATCGGAAGTGGTTCAGATCCCATGTATACACAAAAGTTAACTTAGGTGCAACTTCAATAAGGTATACATGTATTAATTAACATAAGAGGTCAAAACTTAAGAGTAGCATTGGTCTCTTATGTCAATTAATAATTTGTTTTAATGCATGCATAAGTTTTAACTTAAAATAATAAACAAATCGCTAAAAATATTTTATTTGTGTTCGACAGATTTAGGGCAATGTATTTTCAATTGATATAAGAGAATAGGCTTTATCTCTCTTTTTGGAAAAGAGGAGTATTTGAATAAAGCAAATAATCAAGATTTTTCTAGTTTTACCAGATTAATTATATACTCATTCACGAAGCAATATAGAGTAGAATCCCATTATAACGACTCCGTCTATAGTGTAGTATGTTGTATGTCATATAAGCATATGCTCACAGTATTGTAGTGTATACAATATATGAAGTTGACATATGCCCAAAATATAAGTAAGAGTATCATGCTCACAACATAGCAACACTTTGTTGCTTTACTTATATTATAACAGCTATACATAAGCGCCGTAATATGATCGGTCACTTATGTATAGACTGGCCTGCAGCGTGGGATCTGCAACGTAAGCATTGTTACGCTCTTGTCCACGCCGCAGCTTAAACGCTAAATGTATATGCCTTCTGCATATGCATACAAACATATATACACACACATACAGCATGTTATATACTCCCATTCTGCCGCTGCTATAAGCGACAGAATTCTTTATGTAAACTTTATGTACTTTAGGCTAAGACTTTATTTGAATAAAATACGGAGAGCATTCGCTGCCCGACACTGAAATTGAACGGTTCTTTTCTTTTCTATAGTAGATATTGTTTTACAATAGTGTGTTGAAATTGCTGGTCCCAAACTTATATGAGCAAACTTATACGATTATAGCGTTCTCCTACTGTAAGTACATTGGATTTTTGCAAAATCTATTCTTCTGTACTGGTTTATTAACGCAATCCATTATGTGGTAACACAAAATATAATTATATGGTAGATAAACATATTTATTTACGCCCATTAATACTGATTCTTTCAGCCAAAAAACTTAAGATTGATGAACTACTTACGGTTGATTTTCTCAATTGATATAAATACTAAATAGGAAAGTAGCAAAATGGAAATTCTATATTTGGTAATGGTTTTATCCCAGCAGCATTTGGACCACAAATGAATATTTTGCAGGCTGTACACCCGAATGCAAGGTTTTTGCTTTGTATATTTGATAAATAATAATTATAATAATAATAATAAATTTACAATTATAATAAAATGTCAAAAAGTTTGAAATATTTTCTTTTTTTCAAAATTCATATTAGACACATAATGATATTCTATATTTGTAAGCCTATTTTAAGTGTTGTAAGTTAATATTTGCAACTAACCGCATCAAAATAAAAACCCTAAGTCAGACGAAATCTTACATATCGAAACCCGTCAATTAATGGCAATTTAATATTGTTGCATCTATCGGATTATAAATGTAAATGTAAACTTGTTAGTCAAAAGTAAAACGCATAAAGTGCACATTATACACTCATGATGAAAATAATAACGCCAACATAATTTTGGAGATTCTGTCATAACTAATACATTATTGGTATTTAAAAAAAAAACTGGATGGTAACCTTAAGAAAACAATCTGGCAATATAATGCATGCCAAAAAAAATGTCTATGTATTATTTCCCCCTAAACTCACAATTAATTGAAAAGGGCTTGTTGAAGATAGTAGGTACACTCCATTTCTTCAGCCTGGAAAAAAAAATTTAGAATACGAATGTTATAAAACAATGTAATAATAATAATAATAATAATGTAATTTAGAATACGAATGTTTCTTTTAATGTTATGAAATAGTAAGTATCCTTCCTAAAGATGTTAAAAGTAAAAAGAAATATCAATATCATATGTAGAATTGATAAAAACCTTAGAAGGAGTAGCAAATCTTTGCATGCGATAATAATATTAAAGCTTCTTGATTTAATAGACGACTACATATGGCTAAACTACCAGGTCGTATCGAAAAAATGGTTCCTTTGATGCTCACCAAAAATTTTATGATGATGCAACATTGGTAAGGATCTGAAAGTAAAAACAGGTAAGAAAACTCTAGTCGAGAGTGCTGGACTTGATACCACCCTGAACCAAACTAATAAAAATGACCATTTAGTATGGCTAAAATTTCAATTTCGATGTATTTAAAAATATAAATGAAATAGAAAACTAAATTAAATTACATATATATTGAAAAAAAAAAAAATGGACTCGAACCCTAGACTCCACGATCGAGCGCCACACCTCTACTAAAAATGCCACCTAACTTTTCGAAGCTGCGCTGACAAAACTGAAATAGGTTCACTGCTGTAGCGCCATCTAGCTAAACTTAACTAAACTAAAGTAGTTTGAATGTATGTGTGCACTCGTATACGAAAACTGTTGTAGCTGCTGCACGTGAGTTTGTTTATTGGTCAAACATTTTATTATTTTTTAACGTCGATTGACTTAACGGAATTTAATGAATCTTCTAATATATGATCTACATATTTTATTGAATATTTGATTAATTTAAAAAATGAAAAATCATTCACAATTAGCTGTACTGGAATCTGAATTGAACTTGAATTTTTTATTCGATAAAAACATAACGGGATGATTTATCGAATTTTAAAAGCAAACTCGACATCCGCGCTGAATATACGGTCACTTAAAAAAAAATGCAAGTCTCTAGCTCTTATATCTTCTGCAATCGACGCGTTCAAACATACGGACAGACAGACAGACGGGCAGGGCCAAATCAACTCTACCACGCCTCCTTCTGCCTGTTTAACAAAAGCATTATACCCTGATTTCCCGTTTTCAATGGGTTCAGGGTATAAAAACTTGGTTTGAGTTTAATAATGTGGACACCCTCGCTTGGTCCAGTCATTCTGATTTGAATCCAATCGAAAACATGTGGAGTGAATTGAAAAAGCAGATGGTAAAGAAAAAGTGTGACAACAAACTCCAAATAAGGGGTTGTTATTGTTATTTGAAAAAATTTTTTTTTCTAAATTTACTTGTTTTGTTTTGCTAAACTAAACTCGAAAAACTTTAATTTGAAGGGGCGTACCTATTATTTTCATCATGAGTGTATATATGTATATATATATTCAATATTCAATATTTATACATATACAGATATATTTTTATAATCGATCATATATGAATGTATATACTAAATTATATTAAGCATATCATATAAGAGCAGCGTTTACAATGCATTTATTTTTTTGTATATTCTTAAAAATGTTAGGCTTTTTTTAAGAAGTATTAAATTTGCATAACTAATATCAAATTTGATAGCATTTCTATACTAAATTATTCTATAGTTTTACATTGGGACTTAAGCTGGGGCTTATTAGTTAGCAGTTGGTAACATTTTCAATATTTTCTGATAATAATTTGTATTCTTTGTTATATTTGTCTTTATAATAAATAAATATACCTTATATAAAACATTTTTAATTAAAAAATTAAATTAACATAATCTATTTAATTAAAATGAGCTGTATTTTTATATAAGTACATTTTTAGTCACTTGATATTATTGCTAAATTCATAAATCAAAACTAAATGCAATTATAATTTAAAGAAGAATAAATAAAAGTGATCATTTGTAAATAAAAAACTAAATCAAAGAAATAATTCTCATGCAATTGCACTACCGGACATCGTTGTTGGCTGTTGATCAGTCTGCATTTTACGGTTGCGGTCATGCTCGGCTGTTTCAGAACTGTGGAAAATCAATGATACTTGATTTGTTCATTCAAAATTTTCAACTTTTTACTTTGATCGAACTGCAATGGGACTGCCTGTTATATCCACTTGATTGGGATTGTTATTATTCGTCGTGGATGCCCGGCGTCCACTTCCAGATTTGTATGAAAATATGGAATCGTTTTCCATGTCATTTTCAATCTGCAATAAACAATTTATAAATATAACTATTACTGTTTTGAAATCCTTTTTTTTAAATAAGCTTACCACCTGCCGCTTATAGGACAACCGTTCGCTCGACACTGACCCACATGATGAGCTTTCTGAAACTGCTTGAGTGACTGAAGCTACTGTTGGTGGACTGTTTGGGCCCGGAAAACGTTTTGAGCAGACCTGGGATTGTATGTGTTCGCAAATACGTCGAAATCGCCGTATGTTACCTATATGAAAACTGGAGTGAATATTCTGTTCGACGTGATTTTATGCTCTAACCCCATTGAAAATGAGAAATTACAATATAAAAGAAACTTATCCCGTTTCGATTAAAAACCGTATCAACCAAAATTACATCTCGTACATTTTTAAAGATTGTCGCCAAAATTTGCATATATGTACATAGAAAAAGATGAACCTTATAATATGAAAATCAATATATATAATTACGATTTATATTTCCCATTTTCAATGGGTTCAGGGTATAACAAGTAAGAAAGCTCTAGTGGAGACTGGTCGACTACGAGATCCCCTGAACCCTTGGAGCATTAGCTATTTCAATAATTTCGCGTCTTTCAGCTTACACAAGAAACATCCACACGCACGCACACACACGCATTCACACATAAACGCATACATACACACCGTATGCGCTTACTATGAGAACTTAAATGTTTAATAACTTTTGTTGTGGAAATACGATCTTCATGAAAATTTTAGATTAGGATTAAAACATAGATATGCATGTATTTGTAAAGCACAAGTCCCTAGTATTTGAAATACGCCTCTTACAAAGGTGATGGTGAGGGGGTGGATATAGGAGTGGGGGTAAATTTTAACAAACACCGGAATTGTATAAATTGCATACAAGCATACATATGTCGGATATCTCTGCAGATTTGATAATTTTGTGGAGTGCAGCGTGTTCCTGCACTGTTTCCCTTTCCTCTTGTTAATCAACTGTCTGATTTTCACTAGCACATTCGATTACGTCCATGTAACCAACTGGCAATCTCGTCAGGACCACACTCGATATTAGAGCTAACTAACATCTCACTCAATCAATATTACCACTGACCAGAGAACACATAGACTAGACATGTAGAACAAACTTTTTCAACACCGAAAAAATGCGCTGAGGAGACTACACAACTTCGTATTTGCTCGGCTCAGTCTCTTGAGGCTCAAGCAGTGAAAATATTGCACGAGAAAATCAGTATGCTGCAAGCGCTCAAACGAAATGGTGCCATTTTTATATGAAGCACGGCTATGCGCTATTTGTCCTACTCTCTCTCACTCTATCTATACCGAAATCATAAAAGCGTTTGTCACGCTCATGCAAGAAAATGTAAGCGCTTCGATGGTTATTCTTGGGAAGGGTATGAAAGCGTTGATACGCATAAAGAATATGATTTCGCGACGGGCAAGCACACACACACTTGCAGTCTCTGGAAACATGTATGAGCATTTATGGCCTGTGTGCGTAACTCTTGCTGCCTGAGCAAATTGTAATGCCCAAAATTTACCGTTGATTGGCATTTGAGTGAGCATATACATTTGCATACATACCAAAACCAAAACGCAATACTCACATACACAAATCAGCACAACGCAGCAAGCAGAGATCACTCCATCTACGATTAACTCACACTCTATACTTGCTTTTAACTCAAAACAAACCCAAATACTCAACCCAAAACCCCAAGTCACAAAAAATATAGAAATGCTTAAAATAAGACAACGGAATATGAAAGGATACAGAAACAACTACAATGAACTGTTAATTATAATAAAAACAAGTGAGAACGTTGCAGTCGGACAATACCGATTGCAGAATTCTCATTCACAGCCCCAACGCTGTCAACCAGAGTATATATTGCAATTTTCAAGTCTAGTGCGCAACAAAAAACAGGGCATGATCCCATTAAAATTGGGAAATAGCTATTGCTATCATCATTGACACCTTTGCATTCATATTACATATATAATTCATACAATTTAGATTTTTATTATCTATTTCTATCCAGCTAGTAGCAGATCAACGCGACTTTCCTATACATGTGCTCACGCTCATCGTTTATTCTATGCGTACAGACAAAAGCGCGCCTTTTCGCACATTCTTAGAATTTCTATTGATTTCTGGATTTTCTAGCCGTTACTGTAGCTTTTTCAGAGGACGCTCTCTTATTAAGCAATTCTATTTTAGCAACTGGCTGATCAAAGGAATCAGTAGCGACGGAAGTTATGTTAGAGTAGGGGAGGTTCTAACCTCTTCGATGGTAATTTGTTTTTCCTACATATTTCGTTTTTTATAGAATAGATATTTTATTAGGAAGGTGCGAACTGGAATGAATGGCACTTAATATTTTCCTTTTTCTTAGTCGAATTATTTTATAAGTTTAAATTTGTTTCTTCTTAAATAGCCCTCAAATACATATCGCAAATACATACATATTTATATATGTAAATATGTATATAGTGACATATTCATACTGATAATGTCCACAACACAGAATATTCAAAACTAGTTCATACTGGATTTTCTTAGATCACGAAAATCCAGGATAAAGCGATTCAAAAATAGCCAAATCATAAATAGTGGCGCCGGCCTGACTGAATGAATGGCCTGAATGCCGTTGCATTTTGCTATTGCATAGCAATAATGTTGCGAGCCGAAATTCATAGAACGACGCGTCTTCGATCATAAATCCTGGCGCCGGCTTGACAGAATAGTTGCTTAGCAATAATGTTGCAAACCGAAAATGTGAGAACGACGCGTCTAACTGACGCCGACATTCTTTGTCTGCTGCGTAAATTCAGCAGCCTATAAAATAGCCTTTAACAAAAATTGTCTTTAGTCTTAAGCTATTATTCAATAAAGCAAGTTGTCATAATCGAACGCTGACTTCGTCTTTTTGTACCCGGAACACATTTTCAATGGGAAATCAGGGTATAATGGTTTTGTTGAAATGTATGTAACAGGCAGAAGGAGGCGTGGCAGACCCCACAAAGTATATATATTCTTGATCAGGGCGACGAACTAAGTTGGCCCTGTCCGTCTGTCTGTCCGTCCGTCTGTGCGTATGTATGAACGCGTCGATTTCAGAAGATATAAGAGCTAGAGACTTCAAGTGTTTTTAAATGTCCGTAATTACAGCGCGGATATCAAGTTTATCATTAAAAATCGATAACTCGTCCCGATCTTTTTTTATCGATAAAAACCCTATCGAAAACCAGTTATAAAATTATATCTCCTACACCTTTATTGCTAGTCTCCAAATTTTTGTAAAAGGTGTATTTCAAATACTAGAGACTTGTGCTTTGGCAAATACATGCATATTCATGTTGTAATCATAATCTGAAGTTTCATGAAAATCGTATGTCCACAAAAAAAATTATTAAACAATTAAGTTCTCATAGTAAGCGCACACTGCAGCCCATGCGTGTTTATGCGTGGATGCTTGTGTGTGTATGTGTGTGTGTATGCGTGTGTGTGTATGTATGCCTGTGTGTGCGTGCGTGCGTGTGTGTGAGTTTGTGTGTGTGTTTCTTGTGTAAGCTGAAAGACGCGAAAAATTATTGAAATAGCTATTGCTCCAAGGGTTCAGGGGATCTCGTAGTCGAGCAGTCTCGACTATAGCTTTCTTACTTGTTTAAATTAGCGTTGCTATTAGCGTATGTCGCGGCATTTATTCGACTCGTAACACACACTTAATTATATATATGTAAGTCTGCACGCATAGCACCAAATATTCCAGCCTTATACACGCGTTCATTTGTATGTGTGTATGTATGTACACATAAATGCATACTCTAGCATGTTCTAGGATATGAACATGCTATTAGGCTTGGATGCGAGCTGAAATCCCGCGGAAAACTCCTTTTTGTAAGTTGCAAATTTTTGTTATTTTAGCTTCTTTTATATTTTTTAAATTTCATATGTTTCTTCTTTTCGTATTATGAATATCTATTAAGCTTATTCATAGGTACAAATACATAAATAGTTGGCTGACGCATAAAGTTGACGCGATTCGGGCACTATAATGGCCGATTGCCACGCCCCTAGTGGCCGTAGACTCCTTATTTTTGGTCAATTTTTTGAACGAGCAACCGGTAACCTAAATGTAAAATTTGAATTCTTACGCTCAAAAAATTTTAAAATTACAGGGTATTTTTGGATATGCCTCGGCCCTAAAGAAGCGTAAAAATTATTTTTGGAGCATCGATAGAGAAGGCTAACTCAATAGTGCCTAAAGTATAGCAGAATTAGAAAAATCACTATATCTTCACGTACAATTTGCCACGCCCCTAGTAGACGGAGATATAAATTTTTTCACCCATCTTTATAGAATCGAAACATCAGCTTACGTGCGAAATTTCAGTAATCTAGGTTTATAACTTTAGAAGATACAGTTTTGTCCGATTTGCCACGCCCTCAATGGGCGGAGATATATCGGCCATAGCTTGTGATCTTGGGTGGTCAACGCGGACCTTCATACCAAATTTCAGCTTTCTAGCTCTTAAACTAACATGATTTCTGGTATATCGGAAAATACGTTTTCCGATTTGCCACGCCCTTAGTGGGCGGATCGGGAAAATTTTAACACTTTATAAATCGGAGATATACACAAGTACGTGTTCCAAATTTCAATTGCGTTCATACGGACAGACGGACAGCAAGACGGACATTGCACAAAACCAATATACTCATTTCACTTTCGTGAATGAGTATAAAAATACTCACCACATATACAGTGAACCAATAATGTCTTCGTACAGCAGCAACTTTTTTCTTTGGGAACGAAAAAAAAAATATAAATAGTAAAAAAACTAATAAAAATTTTGATGCAGTCTTATCTTATATATTAATCTTAATTTACAAAAAGAATTATGTCAATATGTTGCTTAGTTTAGTAGTTATAACTAAAAGTACATAAAAAGACACGATTTTGGCTCCAATAAAGTCTTCGTACACCGTACTTTCCTAGAACTTTAACTGCGGACAGAAACCGAAAATGATAACGGTTGTTTTCCAATGTATGTATTTGCATGCTCGGGCATAATGTCGCCACATTTTGCAAGAAATTTTCTTCAATTTGAATCGCTAAGCGGCAGTAGAAATCATATTCGGAAAGATTCGCAGTCGGTCAACGATCCAATCCGTAATTGGGCGATTTAAATACGAAGGGCGAGTAGAAAACAAGCGAAAATCCGGAAGGCCGAGCAAGCTAACAAACGGAGATCAGATTAATATTAAGAGAATAGTGGCGTCGGATCCATTTGTTAGCGCAAATATGATATCTACACAGATTTTACAATCTCAAAATAAAGTCGTCCACCCAGAAACTATAAGGAAGGCCATAGTAGCTAATGGGTATAAGTCGCGCACACCTAGACGAAAACCTTTTGTAAGCAGCGCTAATCGCAAAAAACGTTTAGAGTTCGCAAAACAGTACGAAAATGCGCCAGTCGAGTTTTGGCGTAATGTACTTTTTTCTGACGAATCCAAATATAATATATTTGGATCGGATGGGCGACTTCGCGTGTGGAGAAGAACCGGAGAGGCACTCCAACCAAAATACACACTGAAGACAGTGAAGCATGGCGGTGGTGGCGTTATGGTGTGGGGCTGTATGGCTGCGGCTGGTGTCGGAAATTTTGAAATAATTGATGGGGTGATGAACCACCTTAAATATATTGAAATTAAAAAAAAAAAATTTGGTGCCAAGTGTTACTAAGCTTGGATTATCGAGGTCTTACTTTTTCCAACAAGACAATGACCCTAAACACATGGCTCATAATACCAAAATGTACTTAGCCTATAATACGCCACATCTATTAAAAACACCTCCCCAAAGTCCTGATTTAAATCCAATAGAGAATTGTTGGCATATGTTGAAAAAAAATATCAGGAAGCATCATATTTCATCAAAACCCAAGCTTATAGAGGTTTTAAAAGAGGAATGGGAAAAAATAGATAAAAATTATACAGAGAAGTTAGTCCTTTCAATGCCAAACCGACTAAAAGATGTTATAAAAAATAAAGGTTACCCAACAAAATATTAAATATACAAAAAATTAAATTTTTGTTAGTTTTTAAGACTATTTTTTAAGTATTAAGTTTTACTGTACGAAGACTTTATGGAGCCAAAATCGTGTCTTTTTATGTACTTTTAGTTATAACTACTAAACTAAGCAACATATTGACATAATTCTTTTTGTAAATTAAGATTAATATATAAGATAATAAGACTGCATCAAAATTTTTATTAGTTTTTTACTATTTATCAGAGCTTGCAAATGAGAGTTGAGCGTTTTTCGTTTATTCTCTTCCTCGCATCATAACCAAAAAAAATTGTGCAGACACGTCTATCTCTGAGCGTCACTCTCTGTTTTCTTTAGCATCTGTTTCGCTCAGACGCAATGCGATCACTCATTCGTGTGACGCTCTCACATGAGTGTCGCGTAAAACTAACACGATTTTCCCTCACACAAAGCCTCTAAGCAAAAAACACTTTGACTAAAAAACTCAGCAGAAAATGTTTTTGCCTTCGTGTGCATGTAAATACACGCATACATACATACAAAAAGAACGCAGCAATCGCGCGTGATTACCCATACAAACGCAACTTACCGTTACTTCATTTAACTCAAGCAAACGATCAGTGCTAAGCCAGACGCGACAAAAACAGTTTCTGTCTGAGCTTTTTTTACCGTGTCAGTGAAAGACACTTTTTTGCAGACAACGAAAAAGTGTTAACAGTTATTTGCGAGCTATGCTATTTATATGTTTTTTTCGTTCCCAAAGAAAAAAGTTGCTGCTGTACGAAGACATTATTGGTTCACTGTAGTATGTCTCCAAGAAACTTACTTTTATAACACATATACCCCCACCCCTGTCCCAGTATCTTTGAAATTTACACCAATACAGCTTCCAACCGATTTGGTGGTGTCGCCATATTGGTCCACAAATCCATAGAACACACACTTATGTGTATGTCTAAATAGAAAATTAACATTATATTAACATTATATCCCTCCCACCAAAACATTTTTACTTAATGACTTAACCGACCACTTTATACCACACACCAACAACATCAACCAAATTATCAACAGCAAACATCACAGCTGGGGATCAGATAGATAACCGGAGAAGACGTACCCTATCAAAGTTCCTACAAAACGCCAACCTCTGAATGACGGATCACCAACACACTTCTCCACTCACAACTCCTTCACACATATTGGCATCTCATTATGTTCCCCCCAATTAACTCCTTTCACCAATTGAAAAATAATCAATCACTTTCATGGCAGCGATCATTTTCCAATCTTATTATCCTTGTTCCCACAGCCCCAATCAGACAACTTTTCCCGTCCCCTCTTCAAAATAAATGAAGCCAACTGGCCATTATTCACTAAACTAACCAACGACCTAAATTAACTTATACCTAGAACCCCTAACATCAATAAAGAAGCTGCATTAATTAATAAAATAATCCTACAATCCGCTCACCATAGTACACCCCAAACAACCTTTCATATACAGCTAACAACTCGCTATCAACAGATACAAGCCACATAGCCCTCTTGTTTGCCCAAAATTAGTCGGACTGCTCCAATGACAGAAATTTTGTCAATAGCTTCATTACCAACAAATATGCAGACAAAACTATACACTACTCACCCAGTCCATGAACACAAGCAATAGAATCTGACATCACACTAATTGAAGTGCTGGCAGCGTTACACACCCTCAAAGGTACAACTTCCGGACTAAGCAAAATCTCCTACCCTATGATAAACAAGTAAGAAAGCTCTAGTCGAGACAGCTTGACTACGAGATCCCCTGAACCCTTCAAGCTACTGATATTTCAATAATTATTCGCACATGCACACACACACAGACATACGCACGCACGCATAAACACGCATTGGCTCAATAACTTTTCTTGTGGATGTACTTTCTTCATGAAACATTCAGATTATGGTTATAACATGAATATGCATGAATTTGCCAAAGCATTAGTCTCTAGTATTTGAAGTCTTAAAGTATTTTCAAGTCTCTAACTCTTATATCTTCTGAGATCGACGCGTTCATACATACGGACGGACAGACAGACGGACAGGGCCAAATCGACTCAGCTCGTCGCCCTGATCAAGAATATATATACTTTGTGGAGTCTGCCACGCTTCCTTCTGCCTGTTACATACTGTTAACAAAACCATTATACCCTGATTTCCCATTTTCAATGGGTTCGGGGTATAATTATAGCCAAGCGCCTCTGGTGGTTGGTATCGAAAAACAACTACATCCATCCCAACCAAACAGGCTTAAAATACGGCAAATCCGCTACAGACAGTCTGCTCTTCATCATCCTCTATCATTGCCCTTGACTCTCAAAGGTCTCCGACAAACCGCTGGAAAGTTTAACCTGAAATAATACAGTTTATACTAGTACGTAAATATAATAATAATTATAATAAGGAAAACAAGTAAGAAAGCTCTAGTCGAGACTGCTCGACTACGAGATCCCCTGAACCCTTCGAGGAATAGCTATTTATACACGCACACACACAAACACATACACACACAAGACCTCACCCATAAACACGCATGGTCTGCAGTGTGCGCTTACTATGAGAACTTAATTGTTTAATATCATTTATTTTTCATGAAACTTTCAGATTGTAATTATAACAATAATATGCGTGCACTTGCCAAAGCACAACTCTCTAGTATTTGAAACACGCTATTTACAAACTTATTCAAAGTTCAACCGAACAAATTTGATCGGGGTACACTAATACATAAGTTTATTAAATGCTTTGCAATATATTGGTGCACTATATATTTATTGCCAAAATTACTGATTAAGTCATAAAGACTCATTTGACAGTTACTCTACAATTCAAACCATAAAAAATTGACAAACTACTGAATCGACAGACAATTATCATCCCATCTCATACATACATGTACATATGTATGCAAATGTATGTGCTCACTCAAAGGCCAATGAGCGGTACATTTTGGGCATACAATTTGCTCTGGCAGCAAGAGTTACGCACACAGGCCATAAATGCTCACACATGTTTCCAGAGACTGCAAGTGTGTTTGCCCGTCTCGAAATCATATTCTTTATGCGTATTAACGCTTTCATACCCTTCCCACGCATAACCATCGTAACGTTTACATTTTGATTGCATGAGCGTGACAAACGCTTTTATGATTTCGATATACCCTTCACTCAAAAGGAATGAGCTGGGATCGTCGCGAACAATTTTCAATTTCTGTGCGCTGCTGCTATTTGAGAGACCATAGAGAGAGAGCATAAAGAGAGGGAGAGGCGAGTAAGGGGAAAAGAACGCATAACCGTACTTCATTTGGGAACGTGTGCATTTCATGGCAGCGGTCGCAGCGCACTGATTTTTTCGTGCCTTATTTTCACTGCTTGAGCCTCAAAAGACCTAGCCGAGCAAATATGAAGTTGTCTGGTCTCTTCAGCGCATTTTTTCGTCGTTGAAAAAATTTTTTCAGATGGCCAAAGTCAAATCTTTAATTCAATATATTAAATACGATTTTTTACAAATTTGAAGACGCTAACTAGATATGTATATGCTGCAGCTATTATGTTAAAACTAATTTTCGATAAAACAAAAATATTTATCGAGAACATTATAACACGGGGAACACAACACTCTTTGCGCGTCCGCAGCCAACAAATTTTAGGGAATTTAAATTTAACGGAATTTAATGAAATCTGTTTACAATATGATCAATATAGTCTACGGAAAGGCAAGGAAAAATATTTCAATATTTATTTTCTTCCTTCATTGGCAGATGTGCATTCTTCTTGTCCTTAGGCGTTTATAAACTTTTATTACTTACCTGATAGCAGTGTGAATGTTAAGGCGAATAGCATATCCGCTATGTCGCCTTGCTTGCATATGGGACTGATGTCAACCTATTGCAAAGCAAATTTATTAAGCGTAGGCGATTTTTAATTAGGGAATATATACCTGAAATTTAACATGCCTTTGAAACATAACAGAGCCATTGCCGTTGCGCTTGTACTCCACACGGAATGATGTGGGTGATACTACACTATGAGATAACTCTGCCATCTGTAAAATTAAAATATAAGTAGAATAAAATATATAAACAAAACCCAATTAAGACGTTTTTAATTGAAATAAGTAAGAAAGCTCTAGTAGAGACTGCTCGACTACGAGATCCCCTGAACCCTTCGAGCAACTGATAATTCAATAAATATTCGCACATGCAAACACACACGCACACACACAGCCATAGGCAAGCACGCATAAACACGCATTGGCTGCAGTTGTTGCTTACTATGGGAACTTAATTGTTCAATAACTTTTCTTGTGGATGTACTTTATTCATGAAATCAGATTATCATTATAACATGGATATACATGTTTTTGCCAAAGCATAAGTCTCTAGTATTTGCAATACGCTTTTTACAAAGCTGAGGGTGAGGAAGTGAATATTGGGGTGGGGGGTAAATTTTAACAAAAACCGAAATTGTATAAAATACATTCAAGTCTACATTTATATTATTATTATTAACTTTTGAAACTTTAGCACTAAAGGTGTAAGAGATATAATTAAATAACTAGCTCTCGATAAGGTTTTTAATCGATAATAAAATATATGGAGTAGTTATCGATATTTAGAGAAAAACTCGATAAGCACGTGATATACACGGACCTAGGAAAAAAATTTCTCTAGCTCGACGCGTTCATACATACGGACGGACGGACACCCAGACGGACAGGGCCAAATCGACTCAGCTCGTCGCCCTTATCAAGAATATATATATACTTTGTGGGGTCTGCCACGCCTTCTGCCTATTACATACTTTTAACAAAACCATTATAGCCTGATTTCGCATTTTCAATGGGATCAGGGTATAAAAAAAAATACATATTATCAATCAAATACCCTTGATACCAAATGATATGCGTTTTTATGTATACGCAGTTATGTGTGTTTAAAACTGAGAAAGTGCAAGCTTAGAAATATTATTTTCCAACTTAAAAAGAAGTAATTAAGCACTAGGCCAATCTGCTCGATTACGAGATCCCCTGAACCCTTTAAATTTTCTTTACTTTATTCTTATTAATAGTTAAAATTTAGAACGTTTTTAGGTATTTAATTCATTGGAATCTTACGGATAAAAATGCATGTATCAAATGTGCCTTGACTGTGGCAATAGGTTTGCCTTTTACCAATATGGTAAATGTCTCATCTTTCTCAGTAGTTATTAGGTTTCCAAACCAAGAACGTTTAGTAAGTTCTGGTGAAGACTCCGGTGTTAAGTGTACCTCGTCAGCGGAGACTGAAAAATGGACAGATCGATCAGTAGAAAAGCTAAGCCTGTATATAAATTAAAAATACCCTGCATTTTCCTTCGATGAAAACGCGGACTACCGAGAAAGCTGTTTTTTATATTAGTAAGTCTCGTTTTCCACAATTGTCCTCCAGGCGTATTGCAGGGTGGGCCAGGGTTGCCTTGATTGCCTGGATTGCTATTATTGGTCAGCGGTGGAACATTTTGATTCACAACTGTATAATAAATGAATAAAATTGATTTGCATTCTACAAATCAAAACAAGTAAGAACGTTGGAGTCGCGCGTTACCGACTGCGGAATACTCATTCACATCCTATCAGCAATTTAGTAGTTAAGTTTCGCTCTAGTACTGTAGAAAATGGTTTTCCCGATTTGCCACGCGCCTACTAGGCTTAGACACCTCATTTTGGCCAGTTCCTAGAACAAGATAACGGTACCCTAACTGCAACCGATAAAGCTTTTTGGTCTTGGGTGATCAGCCCGAGTATATATACAAAATTTTAGATCTCTGGCATCAATAGTGTCCAAAATATAGCAGAATTCGAAAAATAACTATATCTTCAGGTCCGATTAGCCACGCCCCTAATGGGCGTAGACTTATAACTTTGTCTGTAGACTTTATAGAATCATAACATTTGCTGACGTGCAAAATTTCAGCGCTCTAGCTGTAAAACTCTTGGAGATACAGTTTTATCCGATTTGCCACGCCCCAATGGGCGTAGATATATCCGCCATAGCTCATGATATTGGGTGTTCGATGCGGATCTATATTCCAAATTTCAGGTTTCTAGCTCTTGAATTAACATGATTTCTGGCATATCGAAAAATGCATTTTTTGATTTGCCACGTCCCTAGTGGTCGGATCGGGAAAATTTTAGCACTTTATTAATCGGAGATACACACGAGCGCCGAAATAGATTGAGTTTACACGGACAGACGGACGGACAGCAAGACGGACATTGCACAAAACCAATATCCTAATCCACCTTCGTGAATGAGTATAAAAATACGGAGAAAATTTGATTTTAATCATACCAATAGAAATTGTTGGACCAGAATTTGTTCGATTATGCACGGTAGGTAAAGCTGCAGCGGAATTCCCGCACGAATCACCACCCGGATTGCTAGACAATTCGCTACGGTCCCAGGGAGAACCGCTACCATTACCACTGCGATCTTGAGCATGACGTGTTGAATCACGGCGCTCCAAGTGCGGCTCTCTGACGATTACGACATCTCCTTCAATGCTTTTCTGTGAATTATGGGACGGCGTTCGGCTAACCGCCGTATGATGCCCCGATCCAGGACGATCTCTATCACTATAAGTTGAATGACGTGAACCAGCGGCAGGAGAGGTAGGCCGCGATATAGCATTAGCTTGTTGCTGCGTTAAGCTTATTGGTGAATTACAACGAGTTGGACTGTGGTATGATGAGCTGCGTACTGACGTAGACACCGTTGTAGGAGAGCGTCTTTGGTGATTACGTGTACTACTGTACGATCTAAAACTATTTAATAACTATAAAAGTCAGTGAACAGTAATAAACGAGTTAAAGGAAAATTACTTAAAGGCCTGTCGTCGAGGCGTAAGTGGAGAGCCTTCAGAAATCTGACCGTAGCTCGGCGCATTTGTACCATTAATACGACATTTATCTAATCGTTTCCGGGGTGGATCCACTGCATCCAGTTCATTGCGTAATTTATGATTTATTTCTTCATCATCTTCAAGGGCCGGCCGACGTCGCTTTCGTTCAAGGAGCAGAAAATAAATGACCTTCTCAGTATTATGGCTGTAAGTAAAGAGATATTAATCGGATTCTCGTGTATTATGAATTATTCAGCACCTGGCACTCAACAGCTCTTGTAAAAGTTTTTCCTTTTCCTTAAAGCATCCCAGGGAGCATATAGCATTTAAAACATCAGGATCTACAGCAGTGGCAGTAGGTATAACATGTGTTTGCACCACCTCCATCATGGGCAATTCCAGTTCCAACTCACCTTTACCACCAGCCGTAACCCAGGCATGACGATTAATTTCGGTTAGCTAAATTGCATATATATTTTGAAATAATAAATAAGTTGTACATTATATATAAATATTAATTATAGTAGTAGTAAAGTAGGCGTCACACTTGCGCAAATAATAAAAATCAGGTGCATTCACTCTAACAGCTGTTAGTAGTGCTGGCAATTGCAGCGGACAATCAGCTGCTCACTAAATTTGGTGAGTTGTTAAGTCTTAGTAATGACAGCAACCTAACATCTAGAGTGAAGACGCAGTTACTAAAAGTAGTGCATACTTTCGGGCTCTTGCTGTAGTTAAGCTGAGTTTAAGATACTGCGGTCTGTAAACTCAAATTATATTAGTAGCCATTGCCCACTACAGGCTTCACGTAGTTGTAGTCGGAGCAAAAAATGGATGCCAGGGTGGAGGACGAGTTGCAAGCTTTCGCGCGTCGTTCCTCGTTGCAGCGATCACCGCAGCAACAACAGAGGGCGCTGCCGCAGCCGTCGACCTTTAATCAGTCCCCAGTTGCTGAGTGCCAGCACTCAACTCAGTAAATGAAGCGTTAGCCCAAATAGGAGTTACTCTAGAGGGCTTGACTGCCTTATTTGGAGGTCAGCGGCATATTCATGCCCTAATGAGAGAGGAGCTGGTCAATCTCCATAAGACGGCCGAAAAGCTCTGCAACCGACCGGTTAAAAACTGCGAGGTACAGACCATGCCGCTCAAGAAAGTAGTTGAGACAGCGAGCGCTAGTGCGATCTCAGGTAGCAATACGCCCAAGCGGTCGAGGGAAGTTGTCACCGATCAGAGGAAAACACCCTCAAAAAAGCCCAGGCTGAAAATTCAAATCAGGCAGGTAAAAAGACAAACCCGAACAGCTGGACTGTCGTTAAAGGACGCAAGCCTATGCAAAAACGACCCAGAAGTGACGTAATCGCGATTTCAGGCGTGCCACCCATGGAGCGGACCACCTTGCAGCTATTCAGACATGCTTCGTGTAGTCAAGAGCGACGCAGACTTAAAGCATCTGAGCTGCGACGTTCAAGGCATTAGGAAGACAGCTAGGGGGGATGTTTTGTTGCAACTGAGTAGGAAGCCGGAGCATAGCGATGCTGTAAGCAAGCCTTAGGCGACCGAGCGGTAGTTAAAACACTTACCGAATCGGCTCAAATTGAGATTCGCGACATAGATGAGCTAGCGAGCAAACAGGAAATCTTGGAGGCCATTAGGGTGGTGTTGAAAAATAGCTCACTCCCCATTGAGGTTATCAAATCGCTTCGACCAGCCTTTGGTGGACAGCAAAGAGCTACGGTTGCTCTCCCAATTGGAAAAGCCAAAACTCTGCTCGAGCTGTCCAAAATTAGAATAGGATGGGTAGTATGCCATAACCGAGCCGTGGACCAGCCTAAACGCTGTTTCAAGTGCCTCGACTACGGACATATTGCAGCCAACTGCGGCAGCGACTGTAACCTAAAGGGTGCCGGTTTCAGGTGTGGAGAGATGGGTCACAGTGCAAAAGCATGCACCACGCCACCTAAATGTGGCCTCTGCGTCCGAAAAGATGAAAAGCAGACGGACCACTCAGAAGGCAGCTTTAAGTGTCCATCCTACCGTGAAGCTGCTCATAAAATGAAATGTTAAGGTTCCTCCAGCTTAACTTAAATCACTGTGTTGCTGCCCAAGATCTACTAGAGCAGACCATAAGATCAAGAGAGTTCTCAGTGAGAGTTAACAGACGTGTTTACTATTGTGCTCTTCAATTATTCTTGTTTTCTTAGTTAATTATTTTTATTAAATTTCACATAATTGCGGTTCGGTTGTATACAGCAAATATCTATATTATCCTGTGCAAGGTTTGATCCGTTGTTCACTGCGTTTTTAATAATTTGCTTTTTTAATTTGTGAAGCTTTGTGTGCAGTGTCGGTTCATTAGTTTCATTATTTGCATTTTTGCTTTAGTGTTTCTATTTGTTGGCGCTCTCCCCAGTTCACTCTTTCTAAGTTTGTGTGAGTGTGTGCATAAGTTGCTCTCACTATCTACGGTTGTTGTATTTGCCTCTCTTGAATCTTTGATTTTTGTGGTGTGCAAGTATACTCTCTCGCTGAGGACTTTTGATCTGCTCCGTAACGGCTGTTTTTGTTGTTGACTCGCTCTCTCAACATATATTTTCGTTGCGCTCTGTAACGGCTGTTTGTTGTTGGACTCGCTCTCAACACATTTATACCTCTCTTTGTTGTGACATTTCTGTTTACATTCAGTAATTTTGTGATCTATCCCGATTGCCAATATGAGTTGCTGCAAAAAAGCTTGCACTTTCAGGCAAACAGTTGATTCTGCACAAGCGCAATTTATAAGTTGCTGGCTGTGTGATAACATGATGCATACTAAGTGTGCAGGTCTTACTGGGCGTGAATATGACAAGATTATGTCTACTACTAAAGCTGGTAGTGGAGGCATACGCTGGTCTTGTCCGATTTGTTTGGAAAAACAAATAAACTTTTCTAAAATGCATAGTGCTGTGAGGTGTCAGTTTTTAAAACTGAAGAAGATTTCTATGCAGTTGACCAGTGACATGGCTGCTGCTGAGGTAATCTTAAATCAGTACGGCTTTGAAAGTCCTCTCTCTCAATTGGATACTCCTTTGTTGTCGGTAACTCCTTCTGTAATAGTACCGTCACCTAATTCGCTTGCTCCTCCCTCACCTTGCGCTTCTGTTTTGTCGTCGGCTCCCAATTCTCTAGATCCTCCTTCACCTTGTCCCATATCTATTTCTCCTATTGAGGCTTCTATTGAAACTCAAGCCCCTGTCCCAAATTTGGATGCTACTTCTATTGTTGCTCAAACAAAGAGTGACAATAAGTCAGCCTCTCATAGCATTACCTTATCTGTTGTCTCTCCTAGAAAGCAAGTTTTCTTATCTAGGCTTTCATCTGACACTACCATTGAGGCAGTATCGGCTTTTATCTCAAATAAGATTCCGGCTAATGTTTTTATATCGAAGTTTAGTTTTGCGACACCGCGTGAAATTGCTTCGTTCAAAATCAATGTGCCTGTAGAACACTTTAAAACCCTTTGTGACCCTAATTTCTGGCCACCTCATGTAGTTGTTCATGAATTTAAACCCAAAAATCGTAACAGATCGATGCCTATTTCAGTAAATTTACCTTCGGTGCAATCTTCATCAAACGTTGTACCAAAAAACTAAATTACTTACAAACCTCTTCTCAGCTGTCCCTGATTTATCAAAATGTACGTGGCTTAAACTCAAAACTTAAAAGTCTTTTCTTGCATAGTTTCAGTGTACAATATGATATTATCGCTTTCACTGAAACATGGCTAAGTAGTAATATTCATAATAGTGAAATTCTTTCAAGTAATTTCACTATTTATAGACTCGACCGTTCGTCGCGCAGAGGTGGTGGGGTGTTAATTGCGGTTAAGTCCATTATCCACTCTGAATTGTTTACCTTTTCGTCCCTTTATGATGTGGAGATTATAGCGGTTAAATTAACTCTGCCATCGTGCTCATTATACATCACATGTTCTTATATCCCTCCCTCTTCTGATGTACAAGTTTATGCTCACCACATAAATTGTATTAAACAAGTTAATGAACATGTAAATGATAGAGATTGTCTTCTTGTGTTGGGTGATTTTAATATTCCGAACACTTCTTGGTCTTCAACTTGTAATGCAAATTACTGTATTCCGACAATTGATCACTATCTTTTTGATGAATTGTTTAACCTGTCTATGTTTCAGATGAACTCTATTTCAAACCATCTTAATCGCACTCTTGATCTAGTGTTTGTTAATCATGATTCGCTCATTAATGTCGCGAGATCAACTCCTTTCTCCTTACCTGAGGATATATATCATCCCACTTTAGAGGTTTTATTAACTATCGACAATCCTCCCTCTAATACTCCAATGCCTTCTAAACTTAGTCGCTGTTATCGTAAATGCAATTTCGTTTTGCTTAACGAACTAATTAATTCAACAGACTGGTCTATTTTATATGAGTCGGTTGATATTAATTTAGCAGCATCGTTTTTTTATTCTACCTTAAACTCTATTCTGGATGTTTGTGTCCCTCTCCGCCGTATTTCGCCAGTTTCAAAAAAGCCACCTTGGTTCACCAAAACTCTTTCGAACTTGAGAAACATTAAAACTAAATGTTTTAAAAATTACAAAAAGTCTGGTTCAAGTATTGACTGGTCCAAATATTCCATTGCCAAGTCAAACTTCAATCTTTTAAATTCTAGCTGTTATGAGAATTATCTTACACGTTGCAAACGTCAGTTTACACGTGATCCCAAACAATTTTTCTCATTTGTAAACTCGAAGCGTAAATCCTCTGGTTTGCCGTCCTCATTTGTCCTTGGAGGTGAAAAAACATGCAATGATCAGGATTCCTCTGATCTATTTGCTGATTTTTTTCAATCCACTTATTCTTCTGCTGATCTCTACAGCAACTCATATCCTTATTCTCTTCCTGAATATGGATCTGTAAATACTCCCAAAGTTACTGCATCCTCTCTGGCTGCAGCCATTAAGACATTGAAATCATCTTTCTCTCCTGGTGCTGATAATATTCCTAGTTGTGTGATTAAAGAGTGCAGTGTTTCTCTTCAGTCACAATTACTAAAATTGTTTAACTTGTCCTTGGATACTTCTGTGTTCCCTTCAATTTGGAAAGAATCTTTCATCATTCCCTTATATAAAAAAGGTGGAAGATCTGATATTTCCAATTATAGAGGCATCGCGAAATTATCTGCTATTCCGAAGTTATTTGAGAAAATCATAACATCGGCCTTGCAGCATTTTTGCAAATCGATTATTCAACCATCTCAACATGGTTTTGTTCAAAATCGATCTACGTCCTCTAATTTACTTGAGTTCACGTCGCTTGTTAATGACAGCTTTTCCAAAAAAATGCAAACCGATGTTATTTATACGGACTTCAGTAAAGCATTTGACTCAGTACATCATTACATACTAATTCTTAAGCTTGAACGCTTAGGATTTTCACCCA